AGGTGCAGTTCCGGAAGTCGCCCACAGGGGTCGCTGTGGAGACACAGGGCTGGGCGTCCCTCTGAGAGGTCAAGGGGTCCCCCACCTGGCCCCTCTGACTCCAAAGCCCAGTCTCCCTAGTGGTGAGGAGGCTGGCCTCTGGCCTCCGTTGACAGCAAAGACCTGCCCAACGGATTCACTTATATTTCTTTGAGGGTTTTTTCTAGTCCTTGAAAAGTCAAGGAAAAAAAAAAAAAAAAAAACAGAGAGGAAATCCTGACAGAATATGTGGCCTAAGTTAAATGTAACCACAATTAGGCACTAGAGTTAGTACAAGCGATGATGCAATAACAATGAAGGAATTAAAGTGGGTCTGTTGTTTATTAATAACTCAGCCATTGTGGAAGTCAAAGGGTTCAAGTCTGCCTTTGATCTCTCTTCTCTCTCTCTCTCCTTTCTCTCTCTCTCTCCTTCCCTCTCTCTTGCACTCTCTCTTTCGCTCTCTGTTTCTCTTGCACATCCACACACAGAGAATCTCAAAAAAATAAAATCCCTGAACATCAAGCAAAAAAAATACTACTATGTTCCAGCAACTGCTAATATTTTCCTTCCCTGGGCAACTGGCCCGGGAGTCCAGCAACTTGTGCACAGAAAGCCCTGTCCCTGAATAGAACCTTAAGGCGCCCTCCCCGTCCCCCTAACCTCCCCCAGAACACAGCACTCGAGGGGTTATTCCTTCTACGCTCCTTGGAAAATGACAGGGGAAATAGAAAAGGACATTGTTTGGCACCAAATGTTTAACATTCCTGTGAAAACAATGACCGAAGAAACCTCGCTGCGATGCTTCGGGCTGTATATTTTCGTTTATCTCATTCAATAGGACTGGATAAACCAACACGATTATTTATTTTCTCCGCTTGCCCAGCTTGGAGGATCCACTCTTTCATTAACATGCACTGTTTATTTTCCTTGCAAAGGAACTCCAAGATGATTTCTTACTTCTCTTTGTCCCGACTGATATTGCTCGCTGACCGGAGTTACTGAGGGGTGGGGCCACGCTGGTCCTCGGTCTCAATGAATGGGAGGTTCAGATGTCTAATTTAGGTGTTTATCACCATCCTAAGAAAGCACGGACTGTACCAAATGGTTCCATTTCATGCTCCTATTTAATTAATAAGGCAACTTTCTGAGTATCCTTCTATTCAAGGCTCTCATTTTAACGTCCTTTGGATTATAAAGATATTTTATTTTTCAGGTGATTACTTTGAACATAGGACTACTAGCAGAATTCAGTAACCCCCAGTAAATATCAGGGGGATCGGGGCGTCTCAATGTTGGCATCCCTGACTCCTTGGGGCTGGATAATTCTTTGAGACATGGGAGGGGCTCAGCTGTGGGTATTCTGGCGTGCTTTGCCCAAACCCCAGCCTTGCTGACTAAATACCCATAGCGCCCCTCCACTCCCAGTCAGAACAATCAAAAATGTCAGATGCATCCTGGGCAGGGGCGGGGTGTGTGTGTGTGTGTGTGTGTGTGTGTGTGTGTGTGTGAGATCACCACAGTTAGAATCACAAGTGCCTGATGAGTTAGAATGAAAGAAGGAGAGGAAAGAGAGAAAATGAAACGTTTTGCCTCTTCCTTTTTAGGTTTTGTCCAAGCCTCTCCAGATTTTAAACCGTCCCATCCTTTGACACATCCCCTGGTTAAGGATGTTACTCTTGCTAAATCTCTCAAGCCTTGGGCAGGGCCTTTCAAATAGATGTGCTCTTGAACTTCAAATGGATTGTCCAGAAATCCACCAGTTCCCACTGGGTAAACGATCGGTAAACCTAAGCCCAGCTCCACTTTGAGCCTTAAACTAACAGCATGTGAGAAGATCAATATGAATAAATTCAAAACGAATCAGACCCCTTCTTTCACTGTTGACACAGTATTATTTATATCCCCTAAATACCTTTCTTGACTAAAATTCACCCGAGAAAACTGGCAACTGGCCAGTTCTATTCATATTTACTGTATTTATACAGTACGCTGGGCCAAGGATAATATTTAAGACAAAAATATGCCTGGAGGCATATACAATATCTCTCATATTTTTACTTTGAAATGTCCACGTCGCTAAAAATATTGAGTCTGAACCGTATATAACATGCGCCGTGAAGGGGCGATCCGAGATCCGAAATGATATATGGCTCGTTGAGTCTAATTAGAGCATATTTGTAATAGTTGAGCCCGAGTCACTCCCTGCACGCTAATAAGTTAGGGGGTAAAACAAAAAAAAACAAAAAAATATGAACCAATGATCTTTCCCATGTCTTGGGCTCTGAGACTCATGACCCTCACCAATGTCACTGCAAGCAGCGACAGGCACAGTCCCTCCCAGTCCTAAAGGGGAAAGGCTGGTAAGGAAGCCACGGCTGTACTTTCAATTTGCTGTTTCAAAATATGGTGGAGTGCTTTTCTCTTTTCTCCCCCCTCCCTCCTTTTTTCTTTTTTTTTTTTTTTTTTTTTTTTAATTTGGAAGGGCGTACTCTATTCCAGTATAACTCGAAAGTGCTGGAAAATCAGTTAACCTACTTTCTGTGAAATGGTCCACAGTCCTTACCCAGTAGGATGCAGTCTTGCTGTACCTCTCTATCCCTCAATGAGCTTTCCACAGACAGGTTGTTATTTTTGGTATGAAAAACCCATGGTATATTTTGAAAATACTGCACCTCGGAGAGATTTTCTTTTCTCTTTTTCTTTTTTAAAAAATATATTTTATTGTTTTTTTTACAGAGAGGGAGAGAGAGTCAGAGACATGGATGAGAGAGAAACATCCATCAACTGCCTCCTGCACACTCCCCACTGGGGATGTGCCCTCAACCAAGGTCCATGCCCTTGACCAGAATCGAACCTGGGACCCTTCAATCCGCAGGCCGACGCTCTATCCACTGAGCCACACTGGTTAGAGCCGGAGAGGTTTTCATATCTTTGGTGGCTCCACGTGGGGTGGGGAAGAGTTTCCACTTGCTGATCTCACCTGCCCTGTCTGGGATCCTGACACTGTGAGAATTTCTCCACGCTTTGATGGCCATGACCCCTGGCCGGATCACCTCAGCCCTCTGGACTGAGAGATGCCGGAGAGAACAGGGCATGAATGCCCTCGTGGGTGACCTGCTCTCTCTACACTTCTCTCCCCGGATGGATGCAACCTCCTCCGTGAAAAGCGCTGGGGATGCATCCGAGATTTTGCAGAAAAACACACTGCTGGGATGACATACTCAGGTGCTGCCTAACACTCTGGCCAGGCTGCCCGACAGCCCTGGAAATCACGCACGTGCAGGAGAAAGCAAACTGACTCCGCTCAGGGGCTCAGGGGTTCGGTCTGTCTCAGTGGCTTTGGATTCATGACAATGAACCTTCTTGGTTCCACCCCAGACACAGAGCTTTACTTCCCTCGGGGAATAACCAGGGTGGAGTATATTTATCACCATCATCACAATAATAAAACCCTCCTGCCGGCCAGGATCGCCTGCAGGATGTAGGGACAGAAAGGTCGATGGGAAAACTGGGGTTAGTTAGCTCCACCGGCTCACGTGTGGAGACCCCCAAGTAGGAGACAGAGCTGGGACTTGTCAAACCAAAAAGAAGTATTTAAAAAAGCAAAGCTCCAACCTATCTATCACTAAGAACCTCTGGAATCAAAGGGATCCAGAGGGCCATAGGATCGATTTAGGAAAGACTCCGAGATCCCAGAAGGCAGCCAGCCAGTATATAGGGCACGGAAAGGGGGTGGAGAGAAATGGGCAACCAATGAAAAGTTTACAACTTGGGGTTTGGGCTACGCCAGTATAGAAGCTTTTTTTTTTTTTCTTCCTTTTTATTTTTCTTCTTCTTCTTCCTGGTATTTAACCCTCTCAGGTAGCACTTCTCCCCCCCCCCCCCCACTTTCTTTTCAGAGTGGGAACTAAGTCTAAGCGGACTGTTCTTTTCTCTACCCTTGTACCCCCATCCCCAAGGGACACCCCAATAAATCACAGGCTCCCATTGCTACTGTGTGCCAGCTGCCCTCCGAGAAACAGGTTTACAGGAAGCCGACCGGCTGCTCTCCCGGCAGGCACCCCAAGTCCAGGCAGGAGCTCAGGGCTCCCGGGGGATACAGATAAACGCATAAGAAAGGCGATTTGGCAACCCCCTTGAGCTGCAGGAGGCAGGGTGGGGTAGATTCTGGAAAAATAACGTGCAACCCCCCCCCCCCCCCCTCCGAATCAGACAGCAAGCCGCCCTGGCCACCGCTCCAGGTGACTTCAAAGAGGGGGCGCTGGGCACCAGCCGGCCTTTGGGGGAAGGAATGTAAACACCTGGCGGTGGCCACAGGCTCCAGGACCGGGGGGCTGGTTAGGAGGTAGGTGTTTTGGAAGGTTTTTTTGTGTTTTTTTTTTTTAACCAGATCGGGTTCGTTCGTCTTGGCGTTGGGAGCTGGGGACAATAGGGAAGCTTCGGGGAGCCCGTTGGACAGATAGATGGGTCAGGCGGTGGGGCGAGCGTGGGGCACCTTCCCTTCCTGAGAGGCTAGTCGGAGCCACTTTTTTTTAACCCTTCCTGCACCGGCTGGGCCGGCTCCAAGGCTGTCGATACCCCCCCCCCAAAAAAAAATAATAATAAAATAAAAAGCACCAGGATTCCCCTGCTGACCTTGGCATCTCGGAGGACAAGGGGGAGCCAACTCCTAGCCAAGAATCTCAGGGGCCAGAAAAAAGAGAAAGAATGCCTTGGAGAGGAGAAGGAATGGGGGGAGGGAGGACAAAAAGGGGGGAAAGTGGAAAAAATACAGTGAAAAGGCAACGTTTTCCAGCCTCAGGGAGTGGAAGGGGCATGAGTGGGGCCGGAGACCCCAAGCCGGAGCGGGGACGCGAGCCCTGGCGCAGCGGATCGCGTTTGGGGGAGCCTGGGGCAGCGCTGAGCCCCCGGAGAATGCAAACACCCACACACCCACCCACCCAGGCACCTCACCCCGAAGCGGACGGGGCGGCACTCACTTTCGGAGGGGAAGAAGGGCGGCATGTCGATCTTGTAGACCTCCTTGGCGTAGTACTCCTCGTCGCTGCGCTCCCGCTCGCAGGCGGCGGCGCGGCGGCCGGCCTTCTCCTGCAGCAGGTCCCGGGTGCTGTTGTAGATGGCGATAACCTCTGGGGGCACGTCCTCGGGCTCCGGGTAGTCCTCCGGGGGGCTGGTGAGCTTCAGCTTGCTGAGGATCTGCCCGCGGATCGCCTCGATCCTCTTGCGCATGAACTGGTCCATGTCGAGGGTGCTGCACGTCGACAGGCTGAGCGCGGCCGGCACCCAGTGCAGCAGCAGGACGGCGCGCAGCACACAGGACTGCATTTTATTTATTTTTTTTTTCCTCTCCTTCTCTTAAAGGTGGAAAAAGTTGGGGTTGTTTTTTCTTTCCCCCTTAAAAAAAAAGTTTCCAAAAAATGGCACCAAAATAATAATAATAATAATAATAATAATAAAAATAGAGACAGAAATGCAAAAGAAACCCAACCGATCTGCAAATACAGCTCAGGCAGATGATTTTTTTTTTAAATGAGAAACTTTTGCTAACAATCGAGTCCCTGTCCAATAGAGAGAGGGAAAGAGAGAGCGAGAGAGCGAGAGCGAGAGCGAGAGAGAGACAGAGAGAGAGGCAGAGAGAGAGACAGAGAGAGACAGAGAGAGAGAGAGAAAGGTCTCTAGGTCTGTTGCTGGAGAATTCCTTCCCTAAGAAGAGGCCAGTCGTTCCCAAAGTGGAAACGGGACTATGCGTTGGGCAAAGGGATCCTTCAATTGGGAGGAGGAGGAGGGGGGAAGAGTTGGAAAAAAAAGTTTCCTCGGAGCGACGAGCCGGGGGGAAGAGAGGCGAGTGGCCGGGAGGCAGGCGTGGGAGGAGGAGGAGGAGGAGGAGGAGGAGGAGGAGGAGGAGGAGGAGGAGGAGGAGGACGAGGACACGGAGTTCAGTGTGTCAGTGTCGGGCGCGGAGTGGCGGATCCGAACTCGGCTCCCGCGGCCGAGAGGGAGGAGAAGAGAAGGTCCGGGCTGGCGGCGCTGATGGATGCGTTTAACGCAGCTGCGGCGCTAGGAGCAGGAGCAGGCAGCTCGGAGCAGAGGATCGCACACGTGTGTGTATGCGTGTGAGTGTGTGTGAGTGTGTGTGTGTGTGTGTCCGTGCGCGTGTGCGCGCGCGGGGGGCGAGCCCGGAGCCTGGCGCGCCGCGGGGAGGCGGCCGCGCTGCGCTGGGAGCTGGGGACGCGCTCGGATCGAAGCGGCAGGGACCCTGATCTGCCCCCCGAGGACCCTGCTCTGCCCCCCGAGGACCCTGCTCTGCCCCCCGAGGTCCCTGCTCTGCTCCCCGAGCCGCGATCGGGGGCCTCCACCCCGGCCGGAGCGCGCCGACCCGCCCGGTCACTCCACGTCGCTGCCGCCGCCGCCGCCGCCGCCGGGCGCGTCCAGCCTCCAGCGCCCTCCTTCTCCTCCCGCTCCTCCTTCTGTGCTCGCTCCAGGCGCCAACCAGGCAGCAGGCGACCGGCCGACGGCCGCCTCCGTGGCTCCCGGCCCCCCGGGCCCGCTGGCTGGACGGTCTTATTCCTAAGGGGGGGGTTGCGCAGGGCTGCCCCTGGGACGCCCACCCTTGGCCGGCCTCTCCCGGAGTCTCTGCCGCTCGGGCTTGCTCGCTTAGGGGAGGTGGGCACTTGGCACCCTAGAGTCCACCACCCTCCTCCTCCTCCTCCTCCTCGCTCCTCTCTGCATCCAGCAGCCCCCTTGGCTGGATCCCGAATGGCAGCCTAGACCGTTATACCAGGCTCCATCCCTCTCCTCCTCCTCCTCCTCCTCCTCCTCCTCCTCCTCCTCCTCCTCCTCCTCCTCTACTTGCTCCCCTTCTCTCTCTCTCTCTCTCTCTCTCTCTCTCTCTCTCTCTCTCTCTCTCTCTCTCTCTCTCTCTCTCTCTCTCTCTCTCTCTCTCTCTCTCTTTCAGCTTCTGGAGCTCCTCTCCAAGCGAACCCGCTGCTGCCAGCAGATAACATCACGGTCTTGCCTGGGAGCAGAGATTTATAAGTTCCCTCTGCACCACGTGTCTGCCTTCCACAGACTGACGTGCTAGGGTTACAGTCAGAAGTCCCCTCTCTCCTCGCCTAGACCTGAGCTCGGCCTGAGCAGCCCAGGGGTGGGTGGGTAGGTGTGTGCCTGCAGGGAGGGGAAGGGAGGGGAAGGGGACAGGGAGGGAGGGGGAGTGTGCACCCTGACAATGGTGATTTAGGGTATTTACTTGATAGAGTCCCTTTGCACAGGGCTGCTGAAGGACCTGCTAGGTAGTCTCCCCCTTCTGAGTGAACAGGGCTCCCCTCACAGTCTCCCAAATGGAATCACTTGCTCCAGCGCAGAAGGCTTCCCTCCTGTAGAGTGTGTACACACACACAAACACACACACACACACACACACACAGGAGCACTACTTTACTCTGGGCCAGGCCAGCCCCTGAGACGTGGCTTTCCATCTAAGAGTCACCTCCTACTTTATTTTTATTTATTTGTTAGTAGAATCGGTTTTGCTGTTCCCTGGTACTATTTTATTTTTTAAAAATATGTTTTTATGGATGTCAGAGAGGAAGGGAGAGGGAGAGAGAGATAGAGACATCCATGATGAGAGAGAAATATGGATCGGCTGCCTCCTGCGCGCCCCCTTCTGGGGATGGAGCCAGCCACCTGGGCACGTGCCCTTGGCCAGGAATCAAACCCTGACCTCCTGGTTGATACCTAACAGAATTCTAATGTGCATATCCTAAAGCACAATGGTTATAGTTTGTTACCAGAAGCCCTCCATGGGACCGGGAACTGGGGACAGACAGCCATCATTTTTTAAATTTATTTATTTTATCGAAAGAATGAAGCATCTTTGTTCATTTCGCTGTTGGAATGAATGGCTCTCTCTTTAAGTTGCTGCCTGAGCCTCTTCCTCACAGGGATTTCTCTTCATCTTCTTCTCTGGCGAGACATTCACATCCAGGACGCTGAGCATGCATGGCCTGTGTCCACCGTGAACATCACATATCACTTGACATTTTCTCTTTCGACGCAGCCCCAATGAGACAACACAAGGAGCGCTCTTGCTGCTGTTTGCTTTCCCCCTCTCTTTCATTTCACCTTTTCTTGCTCCAAGTCAACATTTGCATTTCGGCAGGACTGTGGGCAAACTGTGACTCGAGAGCCACATGCGGCTCTTTGGCCCCTTGAGTGTGGCTTTTCCACAAAATACCACGGCCTGCGCGAGTGTATTTTGAAGAAGTAGTGTTAGGAGAAGTTTATGTTTAAAGAATGTGGCTCTTAAAAGAAATTTCAGTTGTTGTACTGTTGATATTTGGCTCTGTGGACTAATGAGTTTGCCGACCAATGGACTAGACGGATGAAGTGCGCTGGAAACTCTGTTGAGTGCTCCCCCAAACCCAATGCCTCTGCATTATTCCTTAGGTGGGTGCTCCTTTTATTCTAGAAAGGCCACAAGGAACTGACTCTAGCTTCTGACATGGACCCTTTACCTGTCTGGGGGGCCTGTATTACTAGGAAACAGACGGCTGACTAGATGTAATAACAATAGCTAACGTATTAGTCAGATAGAGAGATCGACGTATATGGACATTTAATCTGCACAGCAGCCCCAAAGGACACGTTATTATTATCATCATAATATTAATAATAATATAATATTCTTACCTAGTTCAAGGCCATAGTAAGTGGCAGAGCTAGAGTCTGCAGAGAGCATGCGTTGTCTATGTCCATACCCAATAGTAACTTCCAAAACATACCTGAATAAGTCTTACAAACATGGATTTTATGGTGATGCCCATTTGGGAGACACTGGGCACTCTATTATAGACTCACTATGGCCATCATTATGCTAAAGGCTCTGAGAAATTGACACATTCAACTCTTAATCCAGCATATTCCAAACCCCCTTGAACATGAAAATTCCCCCTCCCCCCCATTAATACACATTGGAAAACTCTGGAATAAAGGAGTTGTTTCAACCCACTTCTGAATAATTCTGAAAGTTACATATATTCTGAAGTTACATATACAATAATTCTGAAAGTTACAGCATCGGCAGGTGCCTTTCCTTTTTAAAAAATACATTTTTTAAAATATATTTTTTTATTGATTTCAGGGAGGAAGGGAGAGGGAGAAAGAGATAGAAACATCAATGATGAGAGGGAATCATTGATTGGCTGCCTCCTGCACGCCCCACTCCAGGGATCAAGCCCGCAATCCGGGCATGTGCCCTTGACCGGAATCGAGCCTGGGACCTTTCAGTCCACAGGCTGACGCTCTAACCACTGAGCCAAACTTGCTAGGGTGGTGCCTTTCCTTGAGGCCCAATGGAAGCACCTAGAAAGGACTTAAACAAGCGGCCAGCACCCCAACAGCAGAAGCAAAAATACACTCAGGCGGGGCTAAGACTTCCCTGAACTCACCTTCCATTTGAGCTCAGTTCCAGAAGAGAAGGGCAAGAATGCAGCTGCACCAGAGGGGGGTAAAAGTGACCATTCTTACAGCCGGGGGTGATGCTGATAGCCCTGGTTCAGCCTCCCCCCCCTCCCCCCCTTATCCCCTTCCACCCCGTCACCGCCCCACCTGAGCCAGGGAGACCACCTTCTTGGTAGAGACACAGAATCACCCGAGATTGCGTGGATTCGGATTGGAGTGTGGAGAGAGCAGCAAACGTCCACGTGTGTCACCACAAGGAAAACGGCCTAGGCCATGAATTCTTCTGCCAACCGTCCCCGCTTCCCAATATAAACACACACACTCTTGTTGTCCACGATGGTTTGTTGAACACCCAACTGCTTCCTTTATAACAACTCAGGCCCCCGGCCTAACCGTCAGAGGCTAATTCTAATTTCTCTCCACCTCTTTCCATAGCCTAGGGAAGCAGGACAGGGGAGGGTCAGTGAAAACTTCCAGTGTTGGCTGAAACCGGTTTGGCTCAGTGGATAGAGTGTTGCTCTGCGGACTGGAAGGTCCCAGGTTCGATTCCGGTCAAGAGCATGTACCTCGGTTGCAGGCACATCCCCAGTAGGGGGTGTGCAAGAGGCAGCTGCTTGAGGTTTCTCTCTCATCAATGTTTCTAACTCTCCATCCCTCTCTCTTCCTCTCTGTAAAAAAATCGATACAATATATATATATATATATATATTTTTTTTTTTTAAAGAATTTGCTTCCTGGTTATATAATATCTCCTAGCAGTTTCTGTACCTAGAAGGCCATTCACTTCTTTTAAACATGATGGCATTTGGGAGGGGGAAGGGGGATTATGAAATTCTGCCCCCGCTCATTATAGGAAGAAAGGAAACGAAAATATACTTTTGGCGAAGAGAAGTCTTGACTGTCGGAGTCCAGTTATGTCCAAATCCAAGATGAAGGTCTCTTGTTAGTTAACACCCTGAAACGGGCCCATTGTTTACCAGAGCAGAGAGGTGGTGGTGGTGGGGCGGGGTGTGTGTGTGTGTGTGTGTGTGTGTGTGTGTGCAGCTGTTTGGAGGACTGGCCCTGCCTGGCCCATTAACGGGTCTGTTCCATGAAGTCCCGTGGCATTCCTACAAGGCGCTAAACGAATGTTTGCCACGAAGCCGACTGCTCACCCCCGCCCTGGTTCTTTATTCCTACGGATCCAAAGCCCGCGTGTACGATCTGACAGGTCCTCCCATCTCTGATGAAAGAGCAACTTCCTTTAGGTTAGATTTAGGCAAACTCCTTAGTCCACAGAGCCACATATCAACAGCACAACGATTGGCATTCCTTTGGGGAGCCTCCCATTTTTTAAACGTAAACTTCTTCTAATGCCACTTCTTCAACATAGACTCGCCCAGGCCGTGGTGTTTTGTG